TGTGTGTGTGTGTGTGTGTGTGTGTGTGTGTGTGTGTGTGTGTGTGTGTGACACACTGCAGCTTCCATGGCAAGATTTTTTTTTTTTTGGTTGGTTGGTTGGTTGGTTGGTTCATTGGTTTGGTTTGGATTGGTGTTCTTTTTTTGGGGGGGAGGGGGGAGTTTTTAATTTTAATTTTTTTTTCTTTTGGGGAAGAGGGTTGCAAGGGTGGTGGGCAGATATGAAGAAATGGGAAGAGGAGATTGGGGTGAATGATGTGATATTCACAAAGAATCAATAAAAAGTTTTTTATAAATATAACAGCCAGAGTGGATGGAGGATACCAAGGAAACAAGGCCTTCTAAAACACAAAAGGACAGATGCACCCACGAGCTCACAGAGACTGAGGCATCATGCACAGGGCCTACAAGGGTCTACACCAAATGAATCCTCGAGCTGAAAGGAGAAGTGGATACATTTCTAACCCAGAAGCTATCTGCAATTAACCACTTGCATATAAAAATGTACTCTTTTCCATGGCAGTCTCATTCAGGAAGCAAACTGTTCTTAAGAATAGGCTATATAGCTGGATGTGGTGGAAAAAGCCTTTAATCTCAGGACTCTGGACACAGAGGCGGGGGTTTGAGTTTGAGGACAGCCAAGGCTACACAGAGAAACCTTGTCTCAGAAAAAAAAAAAAAAAAAAAAAAAAGAGTAGGCTACATGACCAGTACTAGATGGCCAACAAAAAACAAATTCAATGGCATCTTTGGATGTTCCTTGGCTCATAATGTCATGTCAGGGCTTTTTCTTTTTCATATTTTTTTTTAATTTTTTTCCTCTCCTCCTATTTCTCCCTTCTCTCTTCTTTCTCCTCTTTTCTTCCCCTCCTTCCCCTCCTCTTTTCCCCCTCCCCTCCACATGTTCTTTTTTTATATGTTATGGCTTCTGGTTTTGTGTCTTTATGGAATCACTGAGTGTTCAAACGTGTGGGTCTCTACATCTGTATCTGTTTCTTGGGCCCTTTTCCTTCTGTTTGTTTGTTTTGTCCTATCCTGATGTGTTTGTTTTTGTGTCCTTTAGATGGCTGTTTGTTTTCTAATGAGAGACAGAGAGGGGGTGGATTCAGATGTGAGGAGAAGGGAGGTGGTACTGGGAAGAGTGGAGTTTAGGGAAACCATAATCAGGGCATATTAGATGAGATAAAAAAATCATCTATTTCAATAAAATAAATAAATAAAACTAGATGAGGACTGTATCTTTCTTGCTCAAGACTCCAGACGGTTTCCCTCAAATATAGGAAAAAAACACCAGTCCTTACTAAGGCATTCCTGCTTTCTATCTCCCTCCTAAGGACCAACTCCTACCTAGCCCTTATCCCTATTTCACTTCTGTCTCAGTTTCCACATGCCTAGGTATCAGGATTACATGGCCTTTGACAACAGCCAGTGTTGGAAGTCTTACATGGCCCAGGAAGTTGCTGACCTCTCTCTCTCTCTCCATCTCTCTCTCTCTCCATCTCTCTACTCTGCTGCCTCTATTGTTGAACTAAGCTCTCGAACTCTTCGCCTGTCGCTTCTGTCCACAGCAACCGGCTGCCATGCTGCATTTGCTGCTTGACCTTCTGACTGCTGAGCTGCCCACTGCCAGCTCCACTGCCTCTGCCAGCATCCTGCTGTCTGATGATTTTTTTCTTCATTTACCAGCTCAACCCACACTACTGAAAGGAGGGGGTAAAAGCCACTTGAGAGAAACTTGTAATCGAGCCTAATGTTTTGACACCAGGGGAGGCAGCTCAGGGGAGTGTCTCACAGCCTGTTCCCTAAAGAAGCCTACCAGCAGGCGTACACAGCCCGGGGAATGGTACTTGGACCTGGTTTCTTTAACACTAGTAACAATCGTCCCTCCTGTAGGCCACCAGGAGAAGTGATGCTCTTCTGGCATAACTGCA